AGCGGAGAGGGAGGGGGAAAAAAGAGGACCTGATGCCAGGGGCTTAAGTGGAGAGCAAATGTTTTGAGAATGATGAAGGCAATGAATGTACAAATGTGCTTTACGCAATTGATGTGTGTATGGATTGTGCTAAGAGTTGTATGCGCCCCTAATAAAACGATTAAAAAAATGAAAGCAAATGATGGTTAGGACTGAAGGAAAACATAGACAAACTGTCGAAGTAAAAAGAAAGGCTGAGTCACTTGTTTGCCCCCTAGGGATGTGCATGAACGAGGGGGTGCATTAGAGTTATAGGTAGAAGAACGTTCCGCACTTACTAAACGTAGTGACTGCACCTGTCTGTCCATTTATTGTCCTGTGGTTAGGGTGTGTTCATGTGAGGCTGGGAGCTAGGCTGCTGGCGTTTCAGATCCCAGCAGGGTCATCCTGCTCGTCGGTCCCATTGCACCTCCAGACTAACTCAGTCCAGGAAGAAAGTCCTGGAAGTCAGAGCCTGGTAAGTCACCAAAGAGCGCTGTCCAAGGTGCTTGCTTTGGACATGTCCCTGCTGCGCGGGTGACGCAAAGGGCCAGGGAGTGCAGAGGGAACCCAGTGAGTTGGATTGCCATACTGGTGACAGCAGTGGACTTGAACGTGTGCATGAGGAGGACACATCAACGGGCAACGCTTTGTTCTGCTGCGCACCCAGTCGCCATGAGATGAAGGGATTGATTTGGGGGAAGTCAACAACAGCACCCGTAGTTGCTCTTTTGTTTAGTTTTGGTGGGCGAGGGTTTGGTGGTGCTGGTTCACCTTCTGAAATGCCATGGTTGAATACTCTCGGAGATTCTGGTTTGCGTTTTTTATAGGAGTCTCATTTTTACGTGTCCTTCAGACTCATCAAAAGTGCTGGGGAGAAAGAAACAGGATTTCAGACTCTGTTTGTGCTTCACAGATAAATTTGGGCAGCGAGCGTTTGTGGGCAAAGTGTGCATGGATTTGAACCACACGGTGCCAGAGTACAAGGAAACCGCTGAAGAATCAGTGCAGGAAACTGAGAGGTAAGGCGCCTCACTGTGTGGGGGCAGCTCCCTCTGCAGCAAAGATGGGATGAACGATCGAGAACCCAAGGACAGGTGTGACCCAGGGGAGACGGTGATTTAGAATGTGTCCTTCGCCCCCTTCCTGAAGGGTCGTGGGGAGGAGACGAGCCAGTCAGGTTGCAGGGTAGCAACGATGAAACATACAACTTTCCTCTAGTTCTTAAAATCCTCCCCCCCCCCCCCACGCCCCCACTATCATGATCCCAATTCTACCTTACATATCTGGCTAGACCAGAGGATGTACATTGGTACAGATGTACAGATAGAAACTGGAAACACAGGGAATCCAGGACAGGTGGCTCCTTCATGACCAGTGGTGAGAGTGCTGATACCTGGAGGATGGAAGGAAGGTGGGGTAGAAAGGGGGAACCGATGACAAGGATCTACATATAGCCTCCTCCCTGGAGGATGGACAACAGAAAAGTGGGTGAAGGGAGATGTCGGACAGTGTAAGATATGACAAAATAATAATAATTTATGGATTATGAAGGGTTCATGGGGAGCGGGGAGGGAGGGGGAAAATGAGCTGATATTAAGGGCTCAAGTAGAAAGCAAATGTTTCGAGAATGATGATGGCAACAAATGTACAAATGTGCTTGACATAGTGGATGGATGGATGGATGGATTGTGATCAGAATGGTATGAGTCCCGAATAAAATTATTTTTTTAAAGTGCAATGCTCCGGAGCCAGGCCTGATGGTGCTGTTTCTACTGTTCCAGCTTAGTCTCTGCACAGGGCCGATCCAGAGTGTCTCCATCACACGGGGGGAGAGGGAGGGAACCCAAGTAGACATGGCTCCTAGACTGGGGTAAAGATCAAGTAAACCCAGCTCTCAGGTGGGGGGTTTGGGAGCTGTTAACTTCACTTGTGGGTGAGGGCACTGGGGAAGGCTGGGGAGTCAGACAGGCCCGGCTCCATCTGGCTCCATCACTTCCTAGCTATTTAACCTTGGTCAAGTCATGTATCCCCTTGAAGCCTCCGCTACTGGATCTGTGAAACGGGGCCGATAACCAGTATAGCTTTTCATTATTCTGACAATTCCGTAATAGATTTTTTTAAGTTCCTTGTAAGCTCTTCTGACAAGAAAGAGAATGAGAGGCAGGTGTAGAGCCAGGAATTCAGAATGGAGAATGGAATTTAAAAATTATCCATAGCAGAGGTCTCTACTGCCTCCTCCCTCTAAGATGGCCCATCTTGGGACATTCAGCCACCTGTCTCATGAACCACAGCGAAGTGGGGGAGTAGCACGCGTGTGCTGCACTTCAGTTCGACATTTTGGAAAAGTTAAGTAACTGAGTTGACAGGGAGACAAGATAAATGAACAGGGTTCTTCTTCTTCTTTAATCAAGTAAACAACTCTGACTGGCTGAGAGAGCTCATCAGAAAGGTCCAAGTTAGAATCCGAACCCTTCAGCCCACAACAGGTAAAAACTCAAGCCGAGAGGCAGCGAGTGGCCATTGGCCTCACGGTGAGCAGGAGCTCAGAACTGTGGCTGGAAAGGGACTCGGGCCGAGCCCCAGGGGAGCCGAGCAAGAAGGAAGAATCTACGTCTAGCCCTGCCTTTTCCCTGAGCCGTGGCAGAGATGGGAACTCTTCATGGGAGTAGAAAGCCTTATCTTTCTCCCTTGGAGTGGTTGATGGCTTCGAACTGCTGACTCTATGGCTAGCGGCCCAGCGTGTAATCACTACACCACCAGGGCGCCTTCATAATAAAACTGAGAAAAGCACAAAAAGGTGCACAGCAGGGGAGTGAGCAAAGCCTCCCTAATGTAACCACGTAAACTGATAAGCACTGGTATTTTATTTCAAAACCTTTCTGTGTTTTCCTAAGGAGGCCTATTATACCCTGCCTGCTATCTGGTCATACTAAGAGAAGGGAGAGGCTCTTCTGGATTTGATGTTGGAATGACCATGTCTTGCTAATGCAAGGAGCTAGACTAGCAACTTCTCCAAGACATGATCTGAAAGAACATCTTCCCAAGGTGAAGGGCAGAGAGCCAGGAGGGAAGGCTGTCGAGTTAATTCTTTACCTGCTCCATATCTGTGTGCTCACACAGAGCAGGGCCCCGCACTCGGTAAGCTGCGGTAAAGATCTGAGGATGCCTTGTGGTAGCACATGTCGCTAGAGAGATAACGCCAATGCGTTCTGCTCCCGCTGCTCCTGGAATAGAAGCTGGGTTCACCAGACATGGGGGACAGCCTACTGTGGGAAAGCCTGCACTTCAGAAAATAGAAAGCCGTATACAGATAAAATGATACAGAGAGGCGCCAACAGTTGTCCACATTCACATGAAAACAAAGCATTAAAGTCCGAACATTAACTAGATATCCACATTCACCAGTGGATAGACAAAATAGCCACTAGGCTTCTGCCAAGAGCAACGGAGAAAGTTTGGAAATGGAGAATGGTGATGTTACGGGACACAATGAATGTAATGAACATCATCAGATTGTACATGTGACAACCGTTGAAACTGCAAATGTTTTTATATATATGTAGATGTACATTAATCACAATAAAATATTCCAATTGAGATTATGAATAGAATAATAATAAAATTCCTTATCAACAAAAACATGTCCACATGCAAGATTATTCAGATGTTCTGCCTACACACAGCTGAATCTTGGAGGTATGACACTAAGTGAAAGAGACGTCATGTAGTCGGATTCCGTGGACAGCTGAGCCCTAACCACTGTGCCCTGAGGGGGCTCCTAGAAGATGTGTAACGTGGACAAATCCCAAGCAGACAGTAGATGGGACGCTACCTGGATCAGGGGTAGGAACAGCTATTAATTATAAATGGTAAAAAAGATCTTATTGTGGGGAAGAAATGCTCTAAAACTTATTGGGATAAAGAAATTCCCTCTATCTCCCTCTGCAGAGAGAACTAATAGTATCTCCACCCCAGGCTCCCTGTGACGAATAACCACCTCTGGGCCTTTCTTTCCGCCTTCCTCCAACATCTGTCCCCAGTGAGACCCTACTTTTGGAAAGAAATGATGCTGTTGCGTGAATAAGTTGGCTTACTGCTTTATCGAAATCAGGAGACGAGAAGCTTCATTGTGTCCACACACTTCTGGATGCTTAGGGCTTCACAACTCTAACGTATATGGAGCGTAATGCCTTGCAAAATGAGTATTTGCTGAACAGAGTTGAAGCTAATAGAATGACCCAAGGGCTGTGGGGATACTCTGCTAAGAACTCAGCTGATTTTAGATAAAATTACATTTCTCCATGATTGTGTACCCTATCTTCTGGACAGCAAACGAGATTGTAATCACCACTTGTTACTCTTTCAGGAGCAAAGGTGAAGCAGGAGCATGTTAGATATGTTGTAGAGAAATATGGACCTGGATGGGTCATGTTTGTATCCTTGGAAAATTTACCTGAAAATGTTTACATATCCTAACTTCTCATTTGTTGCTTTATTCCAGATTTGTGTCAGAAATGCTTCAAAGGAATGTAAGTAAACTTGTTAGTAACTTATTTTGGGATTGAGCTTGTGTTTGTTGCATGATGCAGTACGAGTTTGTTCAGTAGATATTTGCATTAGTCCATGAGTGTTTGGTGTATCCCATGTGTGAAGAAGTATGGGACCTAGAACCTGGAATTGCTTGCACAAAGGACTCATCCACTCAGCTCAGTGAGGCCTGATAGCATTTGCTTTTCAGGGAAGGCTAATGTGGTTTTGTAACCAAACCTCTATGATTTGTTTTCAGCACAATTTTTGAAACCAATCAAGACTGATTTGGGTAGGTGTCAGGAAGCAAAGAAGTCAGCCAGCCAAAACAAAGGAAACTCTTAATGGGGTAGATTGACATGTTACATCACATAGAATAGCCACAATAATGGACTCAAACCAACAGTGATAAAGATGTTACAAGAGAGAGCAACATTTCATTATTGTACATAAGGTCCCCTGGAGTTGGGGCTGACTTGATGGTAACTAACGAAACAACAGTTAAGCAGTCACCATTCAGCTATGTGCAAACATGAAGTTGATTGACCTTAGTCTTGGCACATTGACTTCAACCCCTCTTGCCAACATATGGAGGGAGAACTAGCTTTCATCAGGTAGGTGAATTTGGCCCAGCCTGTGAAGCTTTTGGTTGTGTTAAGAAATACATGTCTGTTACTGCCCATCTTTGGGTCTCATTTCAGGATTTGCTGTGCCCCTCCTTCCACATCATCCTAGTTTTAGAGTAGGTGGGTACTTGATGAGAGGATTGTTGGAGGGTGGGGGCTGGACGTGATCGGGCTTCTTGATCTGGCCTCCTATACCTCCTCATCTGCTCTGAAGTCCAAGTAGTGTCCTGCCATTCGACTCTGGCCAGTAGGTGTAGCAGTCATGTGGTCTTCAGGCACTGAACCAGGCAACCTCCCTGGAGTTGGGAGATGCTAGGCATATGGTGCTGTTTCTGATCCAACCCCCAACAGGCTGAATTATGGCTCCCTGGAGCAAAATAGTGCCCACTAAAGCCCTTTCCGCAATATCTTTTAATGTCTGGCTGGAAGCCACAGGACACCTTGTGACTTCTGTCCATGTACCCTTGGGAAATGTGGAGGAAGCCGTATTTTCATCACTTTCTTGTGGGCTTCTCTTCGGCTCAACCCCAGCGACAGTCTGGCAACTGAACCAATTCAAGGAGGCCATGACCAGCATAGATGAACAAGGTGCAGCCAAGGAAATGGGCCGCATCTTCGCCTTCAAAACGCTCCTTCAAATTTTCTCCTGCCTCCCAGTTTTCATCATAAAATTCACCCAGTAGAGGTGTTTTATGAGCCAGAAGTGGAGGTGGAGGAGGGGACTGACTACCTTTTCAGACCCCTTTCCCCTTGAACTTGCTGCTAAGGAATAGACTCCCCTTCATACACATGGGGTTACCATGAGTGAAAATTGACACCATGCCAACAGGTTTGGCTTTTTGGTTTCTTCTCAGCCATGAGCTATTTCTACAGAACACGGCTCTTGCCCCAGCTCTTAAAACAAGAGGCTACCTGCCGAAAGGAAGACATCAACTCATTTCTTCGTATGACATTCAGGTGGGCTCAGGACCCGTTCGTGCGATCCATAGGTTTCTGATCGGTTGTTTTTGGCTATTTCTAGTATCCGAGGGTGAAGCCCATAGTGACACCACGTTTTGCCCTTTCCTGCTCTGAGGCTTTACTGAGTGAACTCGGCACAATCGCCAAGACCCAAGATTTGCACGTCCAGGTGGGTATTTCCCTTCTGTTTATACCTCTCTCAAGGCTAGACCTGCAGGCCTTTCTGTACCTTGAATCCTGGCACAAATCTCCAGTACCTCGACTGACGTCTGCCAGAGACACAACATTATAGGGCTGCATGTGGAACTTTGCAAAGGACCCTTACAGATAGCAACCTAATCCATTTTTATTTAATTTCACAGATAAGAAATTTGAAGCCCCATTTATCTTCAACCTCCTATGAGAATCCTTTGAGAGACAAGGGCACCTTAAGTAACTGAGAAGGACCAGTGACACACTGTTTACTTATTCTCGACCAAGTACAGTTAATGCCATTCTTTCCCACTTGATCTGATGCCTTCCCTCCATGGTCTCGATCTTCATTTTGGGGGGAAACCAGCTATTATTTGAAAAGCAGAAAGAACCCAATTTCCACCTCACCACCAAAAAATGCACTTAAAAGCCTCTTTGTTCTAACTTGCTTAATTTCAAATCGGGAACAAAAAGTATACGTACTTTGTCATTAAGTTGTAGCAATTTAAGCATAAAACACTTTTTACAGCTTCCAGCTGGGTTAAACTTGGGAGCCTCCCTTCCCCGGCCAAGCTTAATTATATCCTGTACTAAAATTCCTTCTCTTACGAGTTATTTGACTATCTTATATTAAAGGGCAAGTGGGGAAATGCAACCTAGAGATCCTTTACCATTTGGTAGTATTTGTTTTTTAAAGCCCTGTCTCCTAGGAGGGTAGCACAGGGCTGGGCAGTGTGGGGTTCCCGGGAGTCAGAACTGACTTAGTGGCGCCAGACTAGACCCACGTATCTTCTAGCACAGTTATTAACGATTCCCCCCAGCCCTGCTTCTGGGTTCTGTGATACAGGAATGACTCTTGGGGATAAAATGCAAAGTTTAGAAGAAAACGCTGGAAAGAAAATGTTTCTGCTCTTTAAGAAAATAACGTGGAAATAATCTTAAGGTACACCGACAGGAAAATGAAACAGAACAGCACACAGCAAGATCGAACACATCCTTATGGAGGAGTTTAGTCTGTGCTTATTCAAATGCGTTACATTGATGTGAATCATGCTGCTTTCTTCTCTTCTGATGTCCATGTAGTTCTTCAAGGGTCTGGACTAGCCTCTAAGGGCACCCTATTTGGAACACTGCTATCTCTTATTTATTTGGGTGTGCATACTTTACTACATGGGAGAGAGGAAAACCGCTTTACTGTTCTTCCAATGCTAATTTGCTTGTGAGTTATTTCTCATACAACTGATGGGTCTAACAATTTTTATTGTAGGTCAATAGTTGGGGATAGCTACATTTAAGATTTGTATCTTAAAAACATCAAACATTTCATGCTTTGTAGGTTGTTTGGTGTTCTGGGAAGTCAATAGAGGGGTGGAGAGATTTAGGATCACTGTTTGACTCACCTGTGGATTCTTAAGGGCTCTTTTTTGCAGACTTCAGGTGTTGTCCAACGTAGTTATTTTCCAGCTGTTTTCTGCAAAATCACTTATCTGGAAGTGAGCAAAGGGGACAAAGTGGACACAGGGTTTCAGAGCTAAAACTTGGCCTCACCCTGAAGGGCAGTATGTTAAATAGGGTTTTCTAGGGAAACAAAACAAGAATACTTATGATTTTAGATAGATAGATAGATAGATAGATAGATAGATAGATAGATAGATAGATAGATAGATAGATAGATAGATACAGCATAAAGGAATACAACAGCTAATTAGTCCACACAGCAGTACAGAGGGCTCAGTTCAACTCACTTCTGTGAAACAGTTAATATACTGGAAGTCCTTCAACTCAGGAGGGCTGCTGGGTCCAAGGTCAAGGAAGCAGACAACTGAGTCTTCTGTAGAGCAATGCAGACAGTCCGGACACAAGTAGCAAAGAGTAGGCTGGGTCACCTACAGTCAACCAGACAACAGGATCCGACAGCCCCAACTTTAAGTGATGTATATACCAGCAGCGTGGTGAAGCAGGTCTTGAAGGAATCTCAAGCCCTAGTGAATGATCCATGGTTTGGATGTCTCATGGGGAGTGTAGCTCACAAGTTGAGGCAGAGAACTAGCTAAGGCAACCACATGCTGGTCTGATCACCAGAGAGAGAGAGAGAGCTTGCTGATCCATTTATCTCTTTGTCCTCCAGTCAAACTGTGACCTTATTAATCCCACATGTTCTGATTGGCCAGGTTGGTACAATAAACCTACCTATCACAGGCAGCTTGTTGATGGTGCCTTCTATCTATTGGATTTTTGTTCATTTTCATTTGAACAGCACTTCCCAAACTAAAACCAGTTGGAAACTCAGCTTATCTAGCCCAACCTTTCTACTGGTAGCAAAATTATTTGTCCTAAGACACCTAACTAGGGTTACCACTGCGTCTAAAACTCTGTCATCTTTATTCACCCTCCAGTTTTCTCACCAGTGAACCAGGCTATTTGTGTTTCTGATGGTCACCGAACTCTTTCAATGGCCAACACCAGAAGAGGCAGGTTCTCTGAGATATCTAGACTCTTCATCCTCTTCCTGTAGTGTGTTTTGTTTATTTCAGGATTTGTCTTGGTACGCACCACACTCCATTTGTTATGCATAGTTTCCCGATTTGATACATACGTATATATAAGAGGGCTTCAAAATGTTCATGAGAAACAGGAAGGAATTTTTCTATGAACCCTTTGAAGAACACACACACACACACACACACACACTATACTATATATAGTTAGATCTATACTGGTTGCAAATCACAAATCACTTGTCTCTTTTTCCATAAGTGCCTTACCTATGTAAGTAGAAGCTGTCTACACCATTTTGGGGGGTAGGAACTATAATTCCTAGGGGTACTTTTATTCTAATGGAAATTAAAAATAAAATGTTTTTCTTGTAGAGCCACATAAGTGAAAATCGTGATGAAATTGAAGCTGTGAAAAATTTATACCCAGGTTATAAAAACTACACCGATGTGTACGATAAAAACAATCTGCTGACAAATAAGGTAAATTGCATAGCATGACATAATTTATAGAGAGTAAGTTTACTAAAATCTCAAAATTGTATTAGTAATCTTCAGTCTTCGGGACATGGACATGTTTACGAAACTAGCCTAGAACTCCAGGTTAGGTTAGTTTATGTTGTTGTTTGTTGTTGTTGTTGTTGTTGTTGTATAAGGAAGCAGGGGCTGAATTTTCATCCTGGTAGAGAAATCCAAAGGCTTCATTGAGGGCAGGGGCAAATTTGATCCAAGGGCATTTTTGTAGTATTCATTAGAAATTTTTAAATGATAATATATTGTTTTGGGTAAATTTTCACACAGTACCATTAGAATGGAAATGTTTGTTTAAATACAGAGTATATATATTGATACTAAAAGGAAAATCCCAAACCCATTGCCATTGAGTCGGTTCCACCCCATAGCAACCCCATATGATAGAGTTACATAGACCATCATCTTTATATGAGAAGGCCACCATGTCTTTATCCACCAAGCTCCTGGTGAGTGGGAACCACCGGGCCTTTATAGTACAGTGCTTATCCCCTGTGCTCCCAGGGCTCCTTCTATTGATATTAACTACTCATACAAAAAAACAAAACAATGAAGGCTGTCAGAGGGCGCGAGGTAGGGGTGGGGCCTGGCTCAATAGTAGTCCTTTGGGGATGCAACAGTTGAAGACTCAACTCCTAGCTGAGAGGTCAGAGGCTTGAATCCACCCGGGGGCTTCTCAGAAGATAAGCCTGGCTCTGTGCATCCAAAAGATTACAGCCATGCAGACCCTACGGCACAGTTCTGTCCTTACGCATGTGGGGCTCCAGGAGTCAAAACCAGCTCTGTGGTCGCAGCAGCAGCAGGAACAACCACAACCTAATTTAGAATTGTATCCAGCGTGCGCAAAGAATGGGGTATCCAGTCTTACACAAAGAGGGCTCTATGCCATTGCTCGTATGTGTATACACATGCCTGCCTTTAGGTTTTTGAATTGCCATATGTATTTTTAAATTACTATGTGTTGTTTTTAGAACTAAGCAATTTGAGAGAATTAAAAGTAAAACAAAGACCTGTCCCAGCAGTGTACCCCTTTGCCTTGGCCTGCAAACTTGAAGGAGAGTTTTAACACCGCAGTAAATGCTTTTGAGTGGTTATGTGAATGGAGGTCCGAATGTGACTCGCTGGAAAAGTTAAAAACCACAATCCAAACTCCCTGCCATCACGTGACTTCTAGGACAGAGGAGAATTGCCCTCTGAGGATTTCCGAAACAATACATCTTTACAGGAGTAGAAAGCCTCATCGCTCTCCCATGAAGCGGCTGGTCGTGTTAAACTCCTGACCTTGCAGTTAGTAACCCAGCACGTAACCCACTACACTTACCACCAGGACTCCTTTTAAAAAAGTGAATATGCTGCATACATCATATAAATGCTACATCATAATTTCCACCCCTTTGACATATATTTCCATCTGATGAATAAATTAACCTTCAAGTTGACTGCTAATTCCCACTGCACGCAGGTCGTAAATATTTTACTGTAATAATAATTTTGTAGTCGCTGAACCATGCCTCCCAAAGGTGAAAGCTGTTTAGATACAAGTTTTAAACTGTAAGAAAGGGAACTCTGAAAGATAAAAGTTTATTTAGGAAAATCCACAAATGTTGTCACCAAGACCCAAAAATTAAAGTATTCAGCGGCTGCTTTCTTAGATTTGTTTTACCTTTGTGATTTAAACTTTACCTTCCATACACAAATCGTACTGGTGATGTCAACACAGGTGAGTTAAAGGTTATTTGGTTCTATGAGGCTGCAGTCCAATAAAGAAAAATGGGGAAGGGGTGGGAGCACACTGCATTGAGAAGTGAAAGTTTTCTTCTGAAAATGTTGTGTGTGAGAACAGAAATTCACACAAATCTTGTAGTAGCTCACCATGGGGGCAGCAGAGAGAACTATCTTGGCTGTTTTCTACAGTGGAAACCATTCGGAAAGGCGACCCCGTGGATAAGTGCCTAGGAAAAAAAGGAATCGACAAGCAAGAGCTACGAATGGGGGAGACTTTTGTAATAAAATGTCTGCACAGGCCTTTTGTGAGGTGTAACTCAGTGGCAGTGGTTGCATGCAGACCCCTCCTCTGGAAGGTTCCTGGAAAGAGGGTAACAGCCAAGGCCCAGCTGCCAGCTGCACCGGGAGTATCTGGGTGGGAGTGAAAACTACCCTCCCCATTCGGAAGAGCTCATCTTTACCTCAGCACTCACTCTTCTCTCCAGACAGTGATGGCGCATGGCTGCTACCTTTCCGCAGAAGAACTGGACGTTTTCCATGAACGCGGAGCCTCCATCTCACACTGCCCCAATTCTAACTTATCGTAAGTAGGCACTCATTGTTTGCTGAAGATGTGGGTTGCTAATTAGCAGGCAAATCGTTTTGCTTTCTTAGTTCTTCCTGCACCGTCTCTCTTCTACAAGACAATGGAATTCTTCCATGTACTTATTGAAGCTCCCTCCATAATTACATGTAACTGAAATAAAAACTAGGTAAGCTGATACTTACCTGGGCTATCATAGAGCGGGGAAGCATTTTCAAAGGGCTCCCCCCACCCACTCTCTTTCTTAGAATATATTTGAAGTGCACGGTGTCTCCTAAAATTTCTGAATTGGAACAAAATAGGGCAATTCAAGAGAAAGAGTTCAAAACCAATAATGTTCAGCTCTAGAGGCAAAAATTGAAAAGATGTGTAAGGGAGCTTCAAAAGTTTTTTGGAAAATCTTTGAGTGGAAAGGTAATGGAATTCTGAGACATACTATCTGAAGGCTCTTCCTGTATTCCAGCCAGGCCCTAGCTTCCACTGACTAATTGTGCTGTAGAGTGGACAGAGGTACAATGATCTGGGAGGTCCACGCTGCTGGCTCGAATGGCGTGCCAGCTCACGCTGATGGCCTCAGGGTGGGACTACACCCTAGAGTAGTTCCCAGAAGACACGAGCTTTATTAACAATGGATGGGTCCGGACCCATCGGTGAGCCCGATGAAAATTACGGCCTGCCTGTTGACACAAGGCCCATTGGTAAAGCATTTTTGCATCTAATTTCAGGGGATTCATGGACCCCATGAAGCTAATCCATGGATACAGGGTTTAGCATCAATGCTCCAGGGTTCAATTAGAAAAAGTGTCTATCATTTCTGGTGTTAATGAACTCTGACTAGAATCCTTGGTGGCTGGGCGGCATGGATAAATCGTTCATTCAGCAAAATCATCAGCTTCTGCTAGATGTCCGGTTTTCTGAGAGGTACTTCGTGCCCTCTCTTGGTTTGGGTTTTTCTTGCAGCTGCAGGTTGTGAGCGGAGGATTCCTTTGCAAATTTTTTCCTTGCGGATGATCTCAGGATCATCTTAGGATGATCTCATGGGATGTCAGAAAAGAGCGAGTCATTGAGCCAGCTACCACTGCAGACAGGCCCCTGGAGTACAGTCCTCCTGGAGAACCCAGCGAGAGTCCAAAACAAGCGTCCAAGTCATCTTGCCTAAGGGGAGAGGGAACTGGGGTAGTGAGACCCTTATTCTCATCAGTCACCAGTGAGGGGTACTTCGTGGGAGTCTGAGGCACTAATTCCCTGGGATTTCCAACCTTCCTCCCACCAGGACAGGGCATGCCCTACCCCAGGCATTGAATTAGATGTGCTGCCATACTCAACTAATGTGTGGGCAGTTGGCAGTGTTGGCAGTTGGCAGTCTCTAGTCTTTGTGAATGGAAAAGTCCGTGTCAGTGGATGGGTGGGAAGAGCCTCGGCAATACGTTTTTAAGGTGGTTTGAAAGTCTCCCAGAGACACGAAGGTTTCACAGGTGACAGGGAAGCTTGTCTGTCTAACCGCGTAAGGACATGATTATGGTCAAGTGACCAGGCACCGGAAGGGTTTCCCATTCGTAGGATGCATTGTGCATCTGCTGGATTAAAACATGACCCGGCTTGGAAAGTTGAAGTTGGAGTTAACTTCTGTAAGAGCATTTCCCATTTCCTGGGCTCGTCACAACTCTTCCTCCGACACCTCTGAGCGCGGTGTTGTGTTAAGTTATAAGTCTGTGGGCCTTCCATCAATCAGGTGACTTCGAGCTTCACTTCCGTGCAGGTTCTAGGGATTGCTGATGTTTGCCTTGTCCCTTTAGAAAAGTGACATGATCAATTAAACTCTCAGATGTTAAGGTCCAGCATTCTGCCCAGGCGTGATGATTTCTCTCGGTGACTACTGACTTCAACATTGAAATCATCCATCCCTGATCCTCTAGGCTGTACCCCTTTTCCAACAGCGGTCCCCCCTTTCTTTGAGTTTGCATTACTCGTTCTGAGGAACGCATTATTCCAGACATAGAGAAAAGGTGATTCTTTTACAGCTTTTACTTCCTAATATCGAAGGATAAGTTAGCATATAAAAGATACCTTTCTGATAAGCCTTTTGGACTCATTACAAGGTTTACTTTCTCCATTTATTTCTCCTTCAGAGAAACCCCTTGCTTTTGGTTGTGTCTCTTAGGACACTGCTCTCCTGGGAGGTTAAGAGAGTATGTGTACATTTATGGTCCTTCAAAAAACTCTCTAGGACTTGGGTGCTCTGATTTGACTGATGTGTTTGTATCAGCATTAGTGCTGAGATGACAGGAAATACAGCTTTCAGTGGTAACACTCTTTATTAATATCAATTTCCCTTTTCCGATCCTACACAGAAATATCACATATTACATATGGGCCTCCTTGTTCTGATGATCTCTTTTCTCTCCAGGCTGACAAGTGGCTTTCTCAATGTGCCAGAAGTCCTGAAACACAACGTGAAGATAGGGCTAGGCACAGGTTAGTAGTTCTCCGTTGCTAGTTAATGGCCCGTCAGTGCTTTATTTTTTAGCATGACTCCTATATGGTCAACAGGTCTTTTGTGTTAAAAGCAAAACAGTTTCATTCTCGATAGCAATGCCTTGAGAGCCTAAAACGGTAAAGCTGGAAGAAGTAAGGAAATGTATACCAAGGGAGACATTTGGATGATTACAGTACCCTGAAGGAGCCTCTCCCAAGCGTGCAGATGGTTCAGGGAAGCGGTGTGAATCCTCAAGGGTTGGCGGTGTGAACCCTACACAAAGGAGTCTCAGTACAAAGGCGTGGTGTGAACGACTGCCAAACAATCCGCTGCTGACCGGCCACAGAGCAGTTTCACGCCAACACACATCGAATAGCCGAGAGTCTGAATCAACTTGATGGCACCGGGGTTTGTTTTGTTTCGTTGTAGCCTCCCGAAAGCCGTTATTCCTATTTACTGTTCAGAGATTGGCCTTTAAAAGATATCTCTTTCTAAAGTGCTTCAAAAATGCCTTTTTTTTTTTAATTGATTTTTTTTCTCCTCCTTTTGCCCTTCTGGCTAAGTTTTAATGGTTTGCGTTTTGATGTTTTCAATAACAGTATAATCACCAACATTGCCTCCAAGGAAAATCAAAACTGCGTGACCTTGCCCTAGTGAGCACAGATTCAATCCACGCAGGCTGCGGGAACACTGAGAAATTCGTTGAGAACTTGCTTTGCTTCTAAATGTTTAGCAAAATGAGCCTCCTGAATTCCCACAGGCATTTGGCTTGTTTATGAGGCTGAAGGACATTCTGAGTGACCGATAAATAAATCCATCCCCTGCTCTACACAGCACATTTCAAGGATGGGTTTTTGTTTGTTTGATTTTCTGTGTGCAGTGCTGCTCACTCCAGAAATGAGAATCAGGCCCAGCCGTCCAGGAGTCTGCTGTGAATCTTCCATGACTGTGTATGACTGAACTAAAAATTATAACCAAAGCAATGCATTGCTAACAGGTGTTGGGGCACAAGGCCTCATTTGCTATTCTTTTATTTTTATTCTTTGCGAAAGAAAGGGGGCTAGGGAAGAGAGGGAGAGGAAGGAGAGAGGATGAAGAAGAGAAGAGTGAGAGAGGGGGAGAGGGACTAAATTGGAGGGAAAGTTAGAAGAGGGAAAGAAGGGGAGGACAGTGAGGAAGGGAGGAAAGGGGGAGGGGGCAAGATGAGGAAAGGGAGGAGAGAGGGAGGGGGGTGAGATGGTGAGAGAGGGCTCATTTGCTATTCTTGATGCACCTCCCTGATGTTCAAAACCATCAGGACATACTGATGCACTTCTTCATTTTCTGTAATGACTTAAGACACCGTTTGTCACTCTGAGATCTGTGTTAGTCTGGGTACTGTAGAGAAACAAATCCACAGAAACTCATGTATAAGAGAGAGTTTTATATAAAGGGTAAGTTCACATCCAGAAAACATCCCAACCAAGTGCTGCCCAAGCCCACAAGTCCAACATTAACCAATATGTCCGACACCAATCTACAAAGTCCTCCTCCATCTCACAAAACACACACAATGGTGCCGACTGCAGGAGGAAAGCCGAATCAGTGAACGTGTAAGCATCTCAGTGCTGGGAGGGGTCTCCACACTGCTGTTCCAGAACCCAGGGCTGCATGGGGTAGGCCCATGCGGCTTCTCCTTGGAGATGTGTTGCAGGAAGTGAGTCTTTCCAGCTGAAGCAGGGAACTGGCTAAGGCAGCTGCATCCTGGTCCGACCATCAGAAAGCACGAGACCCGAGAACTAGAAAGGCGAGGCTCACTGACCCATTTATCCCTCTGCCCTACAATTAACCCCACATGTGTTTATGGGCCAGGTTGGCACAATAAACCAGCTATATCAAGATCTTTCACAGCAAACAGCTCATTGGTAAGATGTACAGTAATGTATATTACACACACACATACAATAATGTAGGGGAGTAAGTCCAGAAATATCCCAACAAAATCATAGAAACCTTCACTAAACAAAAATATCAAAATGTGCTATTGTTCTGAATATAGCTTCCATCTAGGCCTAAACAAGGCTGAAGATAATATTTTTATTTCTCTAACCCTCCGCCAAGGAGCTCTGGTCGCACAGTGGTTACACCTTGGGCTGCAAACGGCAAGGTCAACAGTGAGAAACCACCAGCCGCTCGAAGAAAGGAAGGCTTTCTACTCTCAAGGATTTGCAGCCTTGGACACTCACAGGGGGCAGTTGACTCGGTGGCAGGGGGGTTGTTTTCCCGCCCTTGGAAATTCTGTGCTCTTCAATCTCTACCATGTCAGAACCCCCGAGGGGCAGTTCTGCCCTGTCCTGTGGGGTTGCTATGAGTCAGAATCAACTTGATGCCAGGGAGTATTTTGGGGGTTTTTAACTGAGTTTTGGCGACAAAAAGAAGTGTGAATGGCCTTTTCTGAAAGGGACCCCAGTGAGACGTAAGACAATGTTATTACTGAAGGAACTTGTCTGCAGACATCCGTTGATCATGCAGACAGGCTTAACGACATTGTGTTTGAATGAGGCCATCCATGTAGGAAATGTAACCCAGTAGCAATATTTCTTTACTTGCCACCACACATAATAATTCATTAGTCTTTTAAAAGAGATGAACCTGACTAGAAATTCTCATCAGTTTTACGTGAACCAGGGAAGTCATAATTTTCAGAATTGTAATTTAAGCCGTGAATTATGATGCTGATCCCTGGATACAGGCACAGGTATTGAGGCAGGAGGAGCCCTGGAGGGCTTTTGGCTTCTAACCAAAGGCTAAGTTTTAATGGTTTGGATTTTTACCTTCCCCCCCACCCCCCCGCCAAGAAATTAAGCACTTGGCCCCTGACCCAAAAGGTCAGAGGTTCTCATCCCTTTGCTGCTCTGTGGCGGAAAGATGAGACCATCTGCTTCCATAGATTACAGCCTTTGAAGCCCTATAGTCCAAGCCTGTTGTGAGTCATAACTGATGCAATTGCTACAGGTTTGTTTTTTGGTTACTAAGGCAGGTAAACAGTTATTTTACATTCACACAAAAAAGGCTTTTAATGGGTTAGGGGGGGAAATGACTATTTTTGTTACATACCATAATCAGTTAAAGAAACATTTAGCAGGATGATGCAAAAATCAGGTAGATGATGCTTTTGAATTTTCCAGGATTTTGTTCTTATATGGCCTCCAGTTCTTGACCTTTGGTTGTACAGCTTTGGCTTAAAAGTAGGCAAAGCTTGACTTCTGAATTCTGTGTCTGCCTTTAGCTGTAAGACCTTGAGTAAGTTGCATAAATTTTCTAAAGCTTCATTTCATAATTTGTATAACACCATCACCAGTAACAACTATAACACTGTCTGTGTTAAAAGCTTGTGAGAATTACATTTTTTAAATGTGCATAATTAGCATTTAGTGCTCACAAAGAAAGATTGCCTTAAAAAGGAAAGAGCAAGGTTGTGTGTTGACAACTGTTTGGGTAAATATGATGGAGTAACTTAAGTCAAAAACGAAGCTCCAGGAATTGATGGAATACCAACAGAAATGTTTCAACAAGCTGATGTGGCACTGAAGCACGTACTCATCTGTGCAGGACATTTGGAAGAAAACTACTTGATCAACTGACAGGAAGAGGTCCATATTTGTACCCATTCCAAAGAAGGGTGACCCAACAGAATACGCGAACTATGGAACAATAAGTAAAATTTTGCTGAAGATCATCCAACAATGGTTGTAGCAGTACATTGACATTCTAAACTAACAGTTCTCAACCTGTGGGTCCCGACCCCTTTAGGGGTCAAATAACCCTTTCGTAGGGGTCACCTAAGACCATCAGAAAACACATATTTCCGATGGTCTTAGGAACTGCGACACCACACTTCTCCTCTATCCGTCTCCATGCGGGTCCACCCACATGCAGATATGCCCACATACGTGAAGATACACCCAGTGTGAAGATTGTTACCCATGTTACACCATGCTTCAAGACAAAATTTCATTTACTCATTTATTTGTAATTAGAAATATTTCTCAACATACTGTTTCTGTGATGAATCACTGTGCTTTAATGACGTTCAATTTTTAACAGTGAAAATACATCCTGCATATCAGATATTTACATGATGATTCATAGCAGGAGCAAAATTACAGTGATGAAGTAGCAACGAAAATAATTTTATGGTTGGGGGGTCACCACAACATGAGGAACTGTATGAAAGGGTCACGGCATTAGGAAGGTTGGGAACCACTGTTCTAAACCTCTGGGAGCTGCCAGAGGTTGAGAACGGGGATGCGGAACAAGGGGACATCATTGCTGATGTCAGATGGATCTGGGTTCAAGGCAGAGAATACCAGAGAGAAGTTCACTTGTGTCTTATTGACCATGCCCAGGTGTTTGACACTGTGGTTCATAACAAACTCTCATTGTGCTCATGTGGAAATTAAATACATGGATCAAGAGGCAGTTGTGCAAACAGAATGAGAGTTTAAGATCTTTTAAGATGGTTTAAGATCAGGAAAGGTGCATGCATCAGGAAAGGGTTGCATGCTAGCAACACACTTATGTAATCTGTATGCCGAGCAATTCACCAGAGAAGCCGGCTTATATGAAGGAGAATCTATCTATTCTTTCCTTCCTCCTTTGGTCAGTGACTTCTGAATCATCAATAGCTTCTCTCTGATGGATCATACCTCCCAGCACACAAATGCTGCTCCAGTATCGTCTGATCTTTTAAGCCAAGAGGGGAGACTCACACTGCCCCGCTGCTCTCGGCACCTTCTAGTCCTTCACCTGCTTCCTCTGACTTCTTGCCCCTTCCTCCGACGAAGCTGTCCGTCTCTTCCTCCTGGTCTCTTGTCACCGTCGCCTCGGTGCTGACAGTTCCACAAGACTTCATCCCACGTCTCAGCAGTGTTTTGGCTTTTTGCCAAGCTTTATTGATACTTCCTTCACATAGCATTCCATTTAATTGTCCGGTCATGTTAATACAAGTTGAGTGATC